GGGGGGGGGGGGTGTCACGAGGAATGACGGCCACTCTATCCAGCTTCCGTCCACTGTGTGCGGCTGGTGCTTACGGGGGTGACGGCCCTGCTGAGAAACTGCAGACTGTAAATCAGTCTAAAATAAACCCGAGCACACGCCGAGGATCTTCTTACAGAGTTTATTTCTATGTTTTCAGAGGGAAATAATTTGCCAAATAATTTTAACACCCCTTATATTCAGTGAGTTAATGATCTTTTATAAATCCCTCTTTTTTTTTTTTTGCCTTTTAAAGTACTGCTCACAAATGTTACAGTAAAGTCAGGCTTATGTGTAATATTTCATTTCCTTGTGGGCTTTTTTTTTTTTATATCGCCTGTAGTTTTTAACCTAGAGATAGTATTTTCTCTTCAGCAGTTGGTTAGGGTTGTCCTTAATGTTATTCATTCATTCATCCCCTCTCCCTCCCTCCCTCCCTCCGTCTCTCTCTCTGTCTCTCTCTCCCTCCCTGTCTTTCTGAATGAGCTGGTGGTGAATTGAAGTTTCAAACAATGTGTGTATTCGTTGTAGAGAATGTTGTTTTATATCCGTTCATCGGAGACAAATAAGAACACTTCAAGTATTCTAATAATGATATATATTTTTTAAATCTAATGGAATTTGTGGATGTTCAGCCCAAAAACTGATAAGAGAAAAATCTTACGAGGGACTTCAGATATCACACTATTGCCTAAGCCATCGGGTTTTATTTTCTTTTAGAAAAAGCTCCAAGTACCTCAAAATTCTCTTACCTTGAAACAAAATATAATAACACAGAACATGATTTATCTTCCTCAAGTCAGCTTCTCAGAGGTGAAGGGAACCAGACCCGTCTGAAATCCGTAGCTTCTGCTTCTTGGGAGTGTTTTTGTTTTCTGGGCTTGACATTGCGATCCTCTGTGCTTTTTCATTATGGATCAAGTCTGGTCACCGCCCCGTTGAGCTGTTTGGGTTTTAAAGGACACGTGCCTTTGGGGAAGCTTCCCTCAGAGCAACAAGGAGAAAAGGTGGCCAACCATAAGGAGAACTGATGTATGTTTGAGCTCGGTCTGCAGTGCCCAGTGCTGTCCGGGTGCTGAGCATGCAATAGAATAGTAGTAAAAACAACAGTAATAACTGTGAACATTTACGTAGTACTCACTCTGTGCTCCGCGGGGTCACAAATGCTCTCTACGCTTCAGCACCACTCGTTTAATCTTTCGACCACCTCATGAGACAGGTGCGATGGTTCCCCCTTCTCACAGATGAGGAGACCCAGGCAGGCAGAGGCGAAGTCACATGCCCCAGGCTGCCCAGCTGTCCCATGGCGACGCCAGGACTTGAACTGAAACTGTGGTTGTTCGGCCTCCTGGGCACCAACAGTGTCCCCTCCAGCACCTGCCTGTGTCCCACCAGTCCTCCTGGCCCTTAGAAGTCCAGTGTCCCTCTCCGTGCGCATAAGAACGATATGAAATATAGTTTCCGTGGTATTGAGATGGACGAACGTGTCGAAACAGAAGCCCCGATTCCTCAGAGCTGCCCCGAGCGAGGGCCCGGCTTCAGCACACCCGGGCCTTCCTGCCCTCGCCCGGGCCGAGTGGGGGGCGACGATAATGGGCCCCCGGAAACGACAGGAGGTCGCGGAAGATGCTGGGTGGCCCCTCGGCCAAGGAGAAAGGAGAGGCGCGCTCAGATGTCCCCCCATCTCCCTGGAAGCAGGTCCCTTCTCCTGCAGTGCTTTTCCTACTGAGGGAACAACGCAGGCTTCTCTCTTTCCAGCTCTTTCACCACTTAGATGACGTTTGTCTCCTTGTTTTTGGAAGTAATTTTATCTCCGTATAAAAGATAACATTTTAAATACCATTCCCAAGGGGTTCCCGTTTGGACCCGGAGAACTAGCGCACGCGCCCTAGATGCCCGCTGAGAGCAGAGCCCCCCGCAGTCACTGCTGCCCAGCTGCACGCGTGATTACCCCTCGCTTCTCCACCGCGTGCTCCACCTCCAGCGACAGGGAGTGGATAATCCCACCCCCCAGGCAACGGCGGGGCCAGGGCTAACTGTTCAGAAGAAGAAGTTGTGCTGGGGACGCACAGGTCCCCTGAGCTCAGAGGCTCGCGTCTCTGCAGAGAGGAGGCGGGAGGAGGCACGCGGTGCCCGGGGCCTCAGCTAGAAGCACCGAGACCCCTGAAATGGGCCGTGAGGGCTTGTGCCTCAGCTCTCACAGAGCTGTGCCAAAGCTGCACCAGCTAGACTCCTGCTCAGCTCTCAAGGTTGCCTTTTATTTATCTGTGAACTGAATTTGGCACACTGATCACTGTAGTGACAATTTATTACTAACCGAGAGCGCTTTTTGTTCCCAAGCTGCAATTTTGCAGTGCTTATTATGAAATGTACTGTATAATTAGGGCTTACAAGAATCAATTTTAAGTGAATCCTTTTATTCTCACTGCAGAAGCCTTAGAAATCATATACTTCAGGCTTGGAAAGAAAATTTTACCAAAAAAAAAAAAAAAAACAACAAAAAAAATACACGCTGCATTTTGTCCGAGTGCACGGAATGAGCGAGCAAAGACTGACACCTTCTATCCTGTGTGGCTGCAAACGCGAGAGTCAGGCACAGGATGGGGGACTCGGCGCTGTATCAGCTGCTGAGGACAGAGCGCAGTTGGCTTTGTGGGAGAAATTAATAACAGGAGGACAATGGCTGTGTGAATGTGCTTCAGTGACAGTCCCCCTCCTTTCTGCCGATCGCCTTCTCCACTGAGAGGTCAGCAATGCGCGTGGGAAGTTCCTCCTCAGGACCCCAGGAGGCGCTGTCCTGACCGGGAGCCTCTGAACGCAGAGCTCGCACCCCACGGGCCAGGGACGCCCCAGGCACCTGGTGAGCCTGAGAGCCATGGTCTGAAAAACCTTCTGAATGCGTAAAATCAATTCGTAAGGCAACAAAGGATTCTGATGATACTAGACCAAAATTCTCAAAATATTTTTTCAAATGTGTGGCATAGTAATGTATGTTACTCTTTCATAAGGCACAGAAACTCAGTCTAGCGGCAGATGTGATAACTACGGCCGTTTTGGTGACTGAGCGACACCTGGGGATGTCAGCAGCAGGTGCACACGATTTTCTGGGCTTTCTCTTGGGCAGCGTAACAGGTCCTGAGACTGCTGCTGTGCTCGCTCATTCCTTGTCGAGGAAATGCTAACGTCAGAGGGAGGGGTGGTTAGTGAAAACAGATGTCTAAGTTTTTTTCCCCATTCAGGTTCGTGAATTTCCAGTATTCTCTCAAGGGTTCCACGGGCCTCAGATCGAGAACCCATGTCCAGTTGTTCTCAGCCCTGGTTGCTATTAGAATCTCCTGGGGAGTTTCGAATCGACTGTGGTTAGGCCCTGTCCCCATTCAGGCACCGATGCAATGAATCTGTATGTATAGGCACGTATGTAANAATCTCCTGGGGAGTTTCGAATCGACTGTGGTTAGGCCCTGTCCCCATTCAGGCACCGATGCAATGAATCTGTATGTATAGGCATGTATGTAAGTGTGTGTGTGTGTGTGTGTGTGTGTGTGTGTGTGTATCTGTGTGTCTTTTTTTATAAAGCTTATCAATTGATTTTACTACACATCATTCACCACCCTTGCCATAGATTATTAAATATTTACAAATATCAGCACCATTTACTGGGAGCTTCTTGGATGTGCCAGGAGTTGTATGTTTCTGCGAAGCAGAGATCTCCCCGTTTTACAGACCAGGAGTCTGACCTCATAGCCGCTGCACTAGCTGTCCCGCCTCACCTAGTAAGTGAGGTCTGGGCCGGGAAGCCTTCCCATGACACCTCGCAGAGGTCTGCCCTGTCCCTGAGGCACACTGGAAAACGAGCGCCCCACTAATCAAG